CCCCCCCCCCCCCCCCCCCCACCACACACACAGCTGAATAGTCCGTAAGACTGACTCACTACAGCGGTGATCTGCACTGTACGTACGTACCTGCATGAGTGGGTCGACGACTATTTCGTCGATGCGAAGCATCGTCACCCACTGTCGCTGCCTGACATCAGTGAGGCGATAACGTTGTGGCCGACTGGAAAGCAATGAGAGCTCCGCACGAACCTGTAGAAATGCGACCAGCGTCGGTGGCGGAGATACTTGAAGACGACTGTCTCACCTGCCAGGGTCTACACACACCCACACCCACCCACCCACCCACACACACAGAGGCGCAGCGTGGCCTCGTTTCGTGTTGTGACTTGTCTGTGCCACCCCACCCGGCCCATGTGGTAGCCAACGGACCTGTTGTTCGATCGTTGCCTTGACCTTAGCATAGGGCACACTGCAAGCCATCCACCCACCATCGTGTGTCGAATGCTCAGGCGCAAAGCGCCTACGCGTGGGATCACGCATGCACCTCAGCTCTTGGCTTACGTGGGCTTGCCGATGATGGTCCAATCCCTGCTGCCCACCATGAGAACCGTCCCAAAGGTCACTTGTTCTCCTGCAGGCAAGGCACGGCACGCACACGACAGACATGATTAGCCTGGCGGGGCAGGGCAGGCACCGGTAGGAAGTGTAGATCGACAGATACATAAAGCAGGTACCCTGCGCTGCACACCTGCCTCTCGTCTATGCATCTTTTCGGTCTGCACGATGTCGCCCACAGTGACCTTGTGCTGGTAGTGCGCATTCGACTGATGGATGGATGCCGCACGACAGACACACAGACAGACAGACAGACAGACAGCACAACCCAAGTTGCGAGCCGGCTTTAGACGACGCAGCGTGCCTTGAAGACGGCGAAGCAGTTTGAGGCGTCCAGTCGTCCTGCGGGGAATTCCGGCTGGGCGGACCGGTGGGGCATCAAACTGCAAGACACGATAGATAGATAGATAGATAGTGGTGTCGACTGCTGGGTAAAGCGATTTGTATTGTTTTTAGTTCCCTTGCTGCCTGCCTGTGCAGGATGAATGAGCATGTGGGCCGCGGTGCCGGGTTGACGCTCTGTGGATTCCTCCACTTTCTGGCAATGTTGACCCGCTTCCTCGACGGCTGACAGACACCAAGACAGACAGGCAATCACAGACAGACACACAGCCAATCGATTGATTGATTGATCGTCGCCGGTCGGCTCGGATGGCTACGCACGTGCAGGCAGAACTTCCACCTGGCGACACAGAACGAGGCAAGATAAGCTTGGTAGGTCGTTGGGTGGGTGGGTGGGTGAGTGGGTGCTGAGTGTACTGTTTATTGCCTCTCTGCCGTACCTGAGCTTCAAGTCTCGGAAGGTCAGAAAGAGGTTCATGTTCTTATCCGTGTCAAAAATGGGATGCAGCGGGTACTTGGGCGCTATGCCGCGGACGATGCGGTGCTTGCCAACCATGATCTCCTGAGTGAGTGTCGTTTACATCACACCCGCACACACACGAGCCCCACACAGCATGAGTGAGCCTAGTTGTTTCTCCAGCTTTGCTTCATTGCGACTGCACTGACACGTACCATTTTGTGGCCCACCACTCGCCGATAGGGGTGATTGACGACCAGCCGCCGCTGCTCAAAGTGGCCATGACCGCCAAACACGGTCCGAAGCAATGGCGCACGGCCTGCCAAGATGCCGCCACGCGAATTCATTCTCGTCACCGAGGAACTCTCTGGGATGGATGGCACATCAACAGATTCCAGAAAAGCCGGAATGGAACACGAGATAGGGCTCTTGATATTCCGTGAAACCGCTCTCTCGTGTCGCTGCGGCGCCGTGTCACGAGTGGGCAGTCAACAAACTGCCGCAGCGCCCTGAGCAGCGATGGCGTTGCGCACAGCGCTCGGTTGGCCGTCTGTGCGGGGTAGTCTCGGTCGTCTGACTCCCAAGTGCTACTGGGCCCTTGGAGGCACCCGCTATGTCGCGTCCTCATCGACATTCCAGTAAGCAAAGCACACCGAACGCACATGGCACCACGCACTGACGCCTGCGGAGGGAGGGAGGCACACACGCATCCTTCCTTCCCTATCTGCTCGTGTGCTGCGAACAGGGATCCGGCTGTTGCGGCGGTAATTAATCTTACGTACATTCTCCAAGGGGCTTGCTGCCTGCTTTGCTTGCCTGCCACCTGCCATGGGTGTATGAAGATTGCCTGTGTGACTGATGCCATTGCTCTCCTCTCAGATTCGTCCGCCTGTGGGTCGTCCCCTGGGGCACATCATGACGCATGACCGTCCGTATTGGCGTGCCAATTGGGAGAAGGAGGATCGTGAGCTCCCGCGTGACCAATATGGCGTGCCCGCACAGATCCCGCCCGAGATCGCCACCACCATCAAGTTCACCTATCACGTACCGCCACAATACTACCCATTTTTGAAGAAACTCGGTAGGTATGGCTGGCCATGGTGGGATGGATATGGATGCGGTGGGCAGGGGGGGGGGGGGGGGG